TGCCTGCATTAAGTACTCAGTAATCCTCAATTGAACAAATGAATGAAAAAAGAGGAGAAGCAAGTATGCCAAAAGGTTATTTTTTTGCTTCTGCTTATTGATATTTTAGCAGTTTTTTTACCCTTGTTTTAAAATACTTTTGTTATGTGGCTCTATTTGTTTTATACTAGGAAATCTAATTTATAATAAAATATTTCTTTGAGACTCTATGTTTCATTATATCTGCTATCTAATTCTCTTAAAACTCTGCACACCTGTGCCAGGCTTATTTCTATAGCCAACAGTCTACTTTACTTGAAATCATATTTATATCCCTGTACACAATTAGCTAAATAAATATCATTAGTGCAGCTTCATTAAAGTGTATTTTCTTAAATATTTCTCAGTGCACATATTTCTCAGTAAGTGAGCATCTATTAGAGTTTTGGCAAGAAAAATCTTATAATGGACTTATTTCTGTAGGTATATATTTCAAGCGCTGACTGGAAGGAATAATAATTTTTTTGCCATCTGGAATAAAACAGTGACGAATACTACAAGAGTCAAATTATGTTCAGATGCATGAAGCCACATTTCCGAATCACCATTATAATTCCTATCTCCCACCTAGGATGCACTAAAGAATTGTTTTTAAAAGGAAAATATCCAAAATAATCTGATAATTCCCCTAAATATAATCCTCATTGAAGCTGAATATATTTTATCCTTTTTTAGTAAAGCTATCATTATCATTATCCAGTAACTGCCTGCAGAGACTTTATAGCAAACATTTTACCCTTTTTCTTGTGTATGATTTAAATATGTTGTTTTATTACATATTGTTTAAATATCCTCTCCGTGAAGCAGCCCACATACACACAGCATATTTAGATATGAATACAGGTTAAAAGCACCAAACTGCAAACCACAGGCCATAGGAATAATATCCCCAAATAAGATCTGATACCCTTTTAGTAGCTTCAGAGCCATTTGAATCCCCTATCACCTAAACACTTAGTTCAGGTATAAGTTCATTTTCCAGCTTATGGTGCAATGGCTTCATATTGGACCTCTCTGCAAACATGTTCCTGTTTCTTCTTTGTTTAAGGCATGTTATTCTGAGTTCATGTGATGATACACCTTATAGATAAATATAAGCTTTTATTCCTGGATAGATCCATGCCTCAACCAGGCTGGTTTGTTGTTTAAAGAAAAGACTGTATTCTCATTACACAAGCCTGCATGCAAGATCCATCGAGATCAAGTGTAGTACAGCAGGAAGAACACCAGCTTTAGAGTTACACAGCTATGGAATCCCTGCAAAAGCATTTCAAGGTCTGTGTGACACAGAGGTCATTGGGCCTCTTTGAACCCTGGTGCTATGGGTTCAGTTGTGCCCCACACACACAAATTTATACGTTGAAGTCCTAACTCCCAGTGCATCAGAAGGTGACATTTGAAAATAAGGTCATTGCTAAAATTAGCTAAGTTAAGATGGGGTCATAAGTGTGGGCCCTAACCCAATATGGCTGGTGTCCTTATTAAAAAGAAAAAAAAAAAAAAAAGCAAATTTGGACAGACAAAGACACTTCTAGAGGAAAGATGATGTGAAGAGACAGGGAGAAGATGCCATCTATAAGCCAAGGAGAGGGAATAGATCCTTCCCTCACAGCCCTCATAAAGAACCAACACTGCCAAGACCTTGATTTTGGACTTTGAGCCTCCAGAATTGCGACACAATAACAACAACAGAAAATCGTGGTTTAAGCCACCCCTCTGTGGCACTTTGTTATGGCAGCTCCAGCCGACTAATATACCTGGTTTCCTCAAATGTCAAATCCTTAATGTAAAGGATGTAGTGCCATTATAAAGATTAAAAACCACATTAGATGTATTCAAAAGAGGGTAGGATATATGTTTTTTATCATTTGAGATATAATATTTGAAGTATTTTATTTCATATCCTTGAATCTTGTTTCTCTCCCCATTCAGGCAGTCAAGTTGCCATACTCTGCACTCATAGAATTGGAAAATTATTGTCAGAGCAGGGGAGCATGGGGTAGGAGAGAGTGTCCATTATTCGTTTTTGAGTTTCAAAAGCCTAAGATACCCTGGGAAATTGGAATGATTCCCATGCATAGAAAAGAGACCTAGAAGAGACTCTCCTATGTATTAATAAAGCTTAGAGCAGATTTAGATCCCTTTTGGTAAAAAAAATAATAATAAGGTGGTCAATATATACATAGACATTAGTGGATCCAGGTCAATTTAGGGGTGGGTAATTGCACCTTTACCCTCCTCCCACTACTTCAACTCATCCTACTGAGGTCAGAATGACAGGCCTTTGGTTCAGGAGATTCAATTGAGTTACCTCCATTAAATAGATATAAAATTCCAAAGTAAAAGGCCAGATCAAAAATCAAGATTTTAAAAGAAAATCATGAGACTGGTTGGATGGCTCTAAAGCCAACAAGATAATGTAAAGGATCAAAAGAACAGAGACTAGGAGAAGCTTTATGAAGAGCTTCTTGGATGGAGCTGCTACTCTATGGTAAGTCCCACCTCCCCCCAAGTAAGAGGGATGGAAGGTGCTTCTTTTTGTCTCTCAATCATTTAGAGAGGCTTCAAAGGAACAAGTTAGACAGCCTGAATGCATACCCTGGAGTTTGGGAAACCCAATGGACTGCTGACTGATTCTCCCCTTGAAAATCCAGAGGACAAGAGAGTCAGGCTAGGAGAAGCTCTGGAATTTGAGAAGCACCTGCACCCCTCCTATCCACAGAGGTTCATAAGATCAATGCTTTCATCAAGGAGGTGTGGGCCACATATGAGAGAACCAGCCTGCAGCCCAAGATGACCATCTGGAAGTATCACTGATATACCAAATGAGAGTTCATGTAAAACAGACTGTCTGAAAACCAGAGGCTCCCCTGGAAATAGCTAGAGAAGCCCTGCCCAAGTCAAGGGAGTTGAAGCCAGATGGGTCCAGCAGGGGAGCCACCAAAGTGCCCCAAAAGTGGCCAAGTGGGTGTCAGTTTTAAACATCACCAGGACCAGAAAGCATGGAGCCAGCTTAACATAGCACCATTTCAAATACAAAAGATTCCTAAGCTATTTATTTCCTCTTCTTTCCCATACTCCAACCAGGGGTTTAGCAGTAGCTAGCCAGTGGGAGAGGAAGTGACAGATAAAAAGAGAGAAAGAAAAAAAAAAAAACAACACAATTCTCCCCATACAACTTTTGGCCCAACCCATAAATGGCTCCAGATAAGAGAGAGGAGATGATTGATATTAAACTAACTTTCAAGCTATGGTTATGGTCTGAGATTAAACCTTCTAATTTCAAAATGAAGACTATGTTTGGAATCTAAAGTGCCAAAAAGAATTTCTTCTTCTTTTTTTAATCTAAGAGTAGTCCTGTTAGGGATGGAGCCTGCCTGAGACTGATTTTTTTTTTTTCTTAAAGGCAAGGGAATACCCACCACCCTTTCCCAATTCATTTTAAAGAAACAAGTAAAAGAAGTAAATTATTTTTGATTGATTTCCTAAGTTGTACTTGTTCAAAATACTGTTGCAGAGAGAAATCCTAAAGATGTTGGTGGGAGATAACGGTTTGGGGGGAAGGATCTTCTTTCTTGGATACAGTCTGGACCTTAGAAATGGCCAAGTGATATGTCCCGGCAGATGGGCCCAACTGGCCTTGCAAAGGACTTCGTGCAATAGTATGAAATAAGAACAAGACTGCAAGTATCCTGTGCTGAATTCAGAGTGGCATGCCAGGAGCAGAGTTTCGTTCCACCCAGAAAGGGTCTTATGGTTCAGTAGGATATGCCCAGGAGGTACCTGAAAGAAGCTTATAGAAAGAGAGCAGAAGATCCTCAAAGGAAGATCAAGGTATGCCTCAGCAGTTGGCTACAAGTACTGATGAGGGATAGGAGGAAATCTGTGGCTAATGAAGAGATGGCAGCCCAGGAACAGGTATGACACCCCTCAAAAGATACCCCTTGGTATCTCATAGCCTTACCTAGAACTCAGATGCAACCTCAGATTGCTTCCACATGGTTAAATGGAAGATCAAAACATATGTAGGGGGCACCTGGGTGGCTCAGTGGGCTAAGCATCCAATTCTTTTTTTTTTTCAATATATGAAATTTATTGTCAAATTGGTTTCCATACAACACCCAGTGCTCATCCCAAAAGGTGCCTTCCTCAATACCCACCCCCCATCAACCCTCAGTTTGTTCTCAGTTTTTAACAGTCTCTTAAGGCATCCGATTCTTTTTTTTTTTTTTTAATTTTTTTTTTCAACGTTTATTTATTTTTGGGACAGAGAGAGACAGAGCATGAACAGGGGCAGAGAGAGGGAGACATAGAATCAGAAACAGGCTCCAGGCTCTGAGCCATCAGCCCAGAGCCTGACGCGGGGCTCGAACTCACGGACTGTGAGATCGTGACCTGGCTGAAGCCGGACGCTTAACCGACTGCGCCACCCAGGCGCCCCAAGGCATCTGATTCTTTATTTATGCTCAGGACATGATCTCATGGTTCGTTAGTTCAAGCCCCGAGTCAGGCTCTGGGCTCTCTGCTGTCAGTGTGGAGCCTGCTTGGGATTCTCTCGTTCCCTCTTTCTCTGCTCCTCCCCCATTCATGTTTTCTCTGTCTCTGTCTCTCGCTCGCTCTCTCTCAAAATAAATAAACTTCAAAAAGTACAATTTAGAGTTAGCCACAGAAGAATAAAGAAATTCACATGTCTTGGGGCACCTGGGTGGCTCAGTTGGTTAAGTGTCCGACTTCAGCTCAAGTCATGATCTCATGGTTTATGAGTTTCAGCCCTGCATTGGGCTCTGTGCTGACAGCTCAAAGCCTGGAGCCTTCTTTGGTTCCCGTGTCTCCCTCTCTCTCTCTGCCCTTCCCACGCTTGTGCTCTGCCTTTGTCTCTCAAAAAATGAAAAAAACATTTAAAAAAAATTTTTTTAAAACGTTACACATCCTACACGCTTATTGGGTAGAGAGAGACATACCTGCCACATAAGGGTAAGCTTGTCCAAGACTTCTAAGGATCCTCTGGAAGTGTGTCTTTACACCACAGACTGGTTAAAAAGCCTAGAAAAGAATTAGAGTTAAGTCATTTAGAGGAAGATTCACTGTGTAAGGAGGCCAACTCTCACATCTTAGCTGTTGGGGAAATACCAGTAGATTGTGATAAGCTGAGCAAGACAGAATACAAAACATTTACTACTATAGAACCCATAAATTCAACCTAGACATCAGCAGAAGGAAAAAAAAAGTTAAGAAACTAGAAATCAGCTTCTTCGGTTTGTTTTTTAAATCAAATGCTCCAACTTCCGTAACACAGAAAAGTGAAGGAATACAAAGGAATTTAAGGTTCCCATCCTACAAATGTGAAATTTTTTAAAGTACCAAATATGTTTTTACTGAGACGAAGAAATCCAAATAAGGGAATAGATTGTGACAGGAGTGCTACTTTAGAGAGAGTATTACACATAGACCAGGATAAAGTAAGTAAATCAGAAGGAGGCGCTTTCCCAGAAGATGGAATAGCAAGTACAAAGGCCCTGTGATGACAGCATGCTAAGCATGTCCAGGGATAGAAAAAGGCCACTGCAGCTGCAGCATGATTAGGTAAGAGAGAGAGAAGCAGAACATGAGTGAGTTTGGAAAGGACAAAGGAAAGGCTTTGGATTTTGATCTAGGAGCTGGTAGAGAGCTATCCTTTTCTTAATTTTTTTTTTTTTTTTTAGTTTTGAGAGAGAAAGAGCACTCCAGAGTAGGGGAGAGGGGCAGAGGGAGGGAGAGAAAGAATCCTAAGTAGGCTCCACACTCAGGGCAAAGCCCAACCGTGGGGCTCAATCCCACGACCCTGGGATCATGACCTGAGCAGAAATCAAGAGTCAGGTACTCAACTCACCAAACCACGCAGGCGCCTTAAGCTGTCTGAGTAAAACAATTTAGTTTGAGATCATTAATGCTGTAAGAAACAGAGATTCCTATACTCTTTGCTTCGTTGCCCTCAGTGATAACATCTTGCAAAACTATAGTACAATATCAGATCCAAGATACTAACATTGATAGAGTCAAGACAGACATTTCCATCATCTTAAAAATCCCTGGGGCACCTAGGTGGCTCAGTTGGTTGAGCGTCTGACTCTTGATTTCAGGTAAGATCATGTTGTAGGATCAAACCCCACATCAGGCTCTGTGCTGAGCAAGGAGCCTGCTTAGCATTCTCATATTCTCTCTCTCTCTCTCTCTCTCTCTCTCTCTCTCTCTCTCTCTCTCTCTCTTTCATTCTCTCTCTCTCTCTCTCCCTCCATCTTTCCCTCCCTCATACACTCTCTCAAAAAAAGACAAAAAATCCCTCCAATTTCCTTTTTATAGCCATAACCATTTTCCCTCCCATCCCACCTCCTCTATAAACAGTGAAAATCACTAATCAACTTACAATTTCTATAATTTTGTCACTACAAAAATATTATAAAAATGAAATCATACAGTCAACAGAATTCTCTGGAGATTTATCCAAGTTGGAGCATCAATAGTTCTCTCAATTTTATTGCTGAGTAGTGCTCTATCAAACAGATCATTTAACCATTCACTCATTGAAGGACACTGCGTTGTTTCCAGTTTGAAGTTATTATGAGTAAAGCTGCTACAAGCATATGCATACATGTTTTTGTGTGAACAAAAGTTTTCCTTTCTCTGGGATAAATGCCCAGGAGAGCAATTGCTGGGTTGTACTGGAGTTGTCTGTTTAGTTTTCTTTAAAAATCTGCCAAACTATTTTGCAGAATGCTTGTACCATTTTACATCCCCATCAGCAGTGCATGAATGAGCCAGTTTCTGTGCATCCCTGCCACCATTTCATGTTGTCATTATTTTTTATTTTAGCCATTCTGCTTTTTTCTAAGGATCAGTGATGCCGAACATCTTTCATGGGCTTATTTGCTACCTGTTATATATACTTTCTTATGAAATGTTTCTTCATGTCTTTTGTTCATTTTCTATTTGGATTTTTTGTACTGTGGATTGAAAGATTATATTCCTAATATTAGTCCTTTGTCAGATACATACTTTGCAAATATTTTCTCCCAGTCTGTAGCTTGTCTTTTCATCCTCATAGAAGGTCTTTCACGGAGCAAAAATTCTTAATTTAAACAGAATCCGATTTATCATTTTTCCTTTTATGGATTGTGCTTCTGGCAGAAAGTTCAAAAATACGTCACCTAACTCTAGATCCTAAAGACTCTTTTTTTATTTTAAAAATTTTATAATTTCAAATTTTACGTTTCAGTTAATGATACATATTGAGTTAACTTTTGTATAAGCTGTCAGACTTAGGTCAAGGTTCATTTTTTGGCCTGTGAATGTCCAATTGGTCTAATATCATTTGTTGAAAAGGCTGTATTGAATTGGTTTTGTACCTTTGTCAAAAATCAACTAAGTATGTTTGTGTTGGTCAATTTCTGGATTCACTGTTCTGTTCTACTGATATATGTGTCTATTCTCACTACCAAGATCATACAGCCTTGATTACTATAGCTATATAATAAATCTAGATATTTGGTGAGTTAATCCTTGTCACTTATTTTTCTAATTCAAATTCATTATACTCTATTCCTTTGCCTTTTCATATAATTTTTAAGATAATTTTGTCTACATGTACAAAAAAATCTTTCTAAAAATTTGATAGGGATTATGTTAAACTCTATGTCAGTTTGGGGGAACTGTCATCTTTGTAATGGTGAGTCTTCCAATCCATGAACATGGTATATCTATTTTTAGATATTCCTAGATTTCAGCAGATAAGTCTTATACATGTTTTGTTAGGTTTACACCTAAGTAATTTTTTTGAGTAATCATAAATGATATTGTATTTTTAATTTTGGTGTCCAGGTTCATTGCTATTATAAAAGAAAATAATTGATTTTTGTATGTTTATATTATATCCCACTACTTTGGTGAATTCACTTATTAGATTGACAAGTGTGTTTTTTAAGTTCCTTGGGATTTTCTACATAAACAAAAATATCACCTGAAAATAGGAAAAGTTTTATTTCTTTCTTTCTGATATCTATGCTTTTAATTTTTTAAATTTTTTAAAAATTTTTTTTCAACTGGCTAGAAATTCTAGTACTATATTCAGAGTGGTGAGTAAGACATTCTTGACCTAGCTCCTGATCTAAGGGGAAAGAATTCAGTCTTTCATCATGAAAGGCAAAGTTAGTTGTAGATTGTTTTGCATCTTTTTATAAATGATCTATATCAAATTGAAGAAGTTCCCTGTTCCTATTTATCTGAGAGTTTTTATCATGAATGGGTGATAAATTTTGTCAAATGCTTTTTTTCTGTATGAATTGATAGAATCATATGACATTTCTTCTTTAGCTTGTTATATGGTGAATCACACTAATAGTTTTTCAAGTACTAACCAGCCTCGCATCCCTGGAATAAAACCCCAGTGATCATGAAATATATGCCATTTTATATATTGCTGAATTCTATTTGCTAATGTTTTGTTAAGGATTTTTGTGTCTGTGTTCTTAAGGGATATTTGTGTGTGTGTGTGTGTTTGTTTTTACTGTACTTCTTGGGTATCTAGATAATACTAACATAAAATAAATGTTTTCTGGAAGACACTGTAAATTGGTGTTACTTCTCTACTCTAAGTGTCTGTTAGAACTTTCTAGTGAACACATCTGGGACCAAATATGCCTTTTTGAAAGTTTTAAAATTGTCTGTGCAATGTCTTTATTAATTATGGGGATACTCGAATTATCTATTTAATATTAAGTGAGTTGTGGTAGTTTGTGTTTTCTAAGGAATTGGTCCATTTCATCTAAGTTGTCAAATATATATGTATAGAGTTGTTTGTGCTATCCTCGTATTATCATTTTGATGTATGCAGGGTCTGCAGTCATACACTTTTTCATTCCTGATATTGGTAATTTGTGTATTTTCTCTTTATTTTTTGTCAGTCTTGCAGGGATTTATCAATATCATCAAAATTTCCAAATAATCATATTTTTTCATTGATTGTTCTGCTTTCAATTTTCTTGGCATTTGTTCTTATTATTTCTCTTCTGCTTTCTTTGGGTGTATACAGCTCTTCCTTTTCTAGATTCTTGAAATGGGAGGTTAGATTAGAAAAAAGGAAAAATCTCAAATGAGTAATGTATGAATTTAGGGCTGTAAAGATCCCTCTCAGCACTTCTTTATCTCTGACCCACAAATTTTGATGTTGGATTTTTATTTTCATTCAGTTCAATGTATTATTTATGTCCTCTGAGACTGCCTTTGTGATTCGTGGATTATTATTTATAATTCAGAATGTTACTGAATTTCCAAGTGTTCAGAGACTTTTGTGTTATCTTTCTGTTATTCACTCCTCCCCCCCCCCTTTTTTTTTTTTTTAGTTTAGAGAAAGAGAAAGCAGGAGTTGGGGAGAGAGGCAAAGGGAGGGGGAGAGGGAGAAAGAATCTTAATGGGGCTCCATGCTCAGTGCAAAGCCCGACATGGTACTTGATCCCATGATGCTGGGACCATGACCCAAGCCTAAATCAAGATTTGGTCACTCAACCAACTGTGCCACCCAGGCGCTCCTCTGTTATTCACTTCTAATATGATTCCATGGTGGTCAAAGAATACATTCCATGTGACTTTAATTCTTCTTAAATTTGTTGAGATTTGTTTCTGATCCAGGATATGGTCATTATTGGTATTTATTCCATAGTCACATGAAAAGAATATGTATTTTGCTGCTGATTGGTGCAGTTTTGTGAATAGCAATTAGAGTCTGATGTTGAGATTTCTATATCCTTGTTGATTTTGTCTAGTTTTCTATCAATTGATGAGGTAGTGGTGTTGAAATATTCAACTATATGTGAGTTTATTTCTCTTTTCAAATCTGTCAACTTTTACTTCATGTATTTTACAGTTCAATAATTTAGTGCATGCATATTTAGGATTGCCATGTCTTTTTGATGGACCAATTCTTTTATCATTATGTAATAGCCTTCTCTTCTACTGGTAAATTTTTCTTTTCTCTGAAGTCTACTGTATCAGATATTAATATAACAACTCCT